GGACAATAACAAAGAAAAGCTTTAAATTTTGAAGGTATTCAGAAGCTATCTTGGTGTTTGGTGGCTAAATAGGTAGTGATGATATTAATCAAAAGAGGAAACAGAAAGATGTACAAGTTCAAGAGACAAACTTCTGAATGGTATGGCCAAACTCTCTAATCTACCACCCATTCGTGACAGTCACAATCCCTTGCCTTTGCAAGCTTTCCAAACAAACTCCTCCACCCCTGCATCGCCCTTTCCATCTCTCCATTTGTCCTTCTGAAATGCTCTGCCCAATTGTCTACTTTCTTTTGAAAGCTTTCCCTAAGGCCCCTTCTCTCTGCTTACAAGGCAACCTGAATAAACTGCTATGATAGCACTGATCACACTACACAACATTTAACTGTCCATTGTCCCTAGACTCTAAGGTCTAAGTGAATTCTGAAAAATCTAGTAATAGTTAATACTTGATAAATAGTACTTAAAAAATATATTCTATTTGAATATATTCTAAATGAATGAATGAATGAGCTTGAGATGCTTACAGAACACCCAGATAATGATAAACAGAAACATGGCTTTGAGCTCAGGAAGGAAGACATGGTTCATGTTATAGATCACATTTCACCCTAAATCTCTAATTGTTGCTTTGGCAGATTAAGACAAAATTCATAATCAAATAGTTTATGGATGGACAGACAACTGAGACATAAAATTTTTTGCCCATAAAATACAATGTGTACTCTTTGTTGTTGTTTAAGTCGTTAGGTCATGTCTCAGTGACCCAATGAACTGTAGCCCGCCAGGCTCCTCTGTCCACAGGATTTCCCAGGCAAGCATACTGAAGTGGGTTACCATTTCCTTCTCCAGGGGATCTTCCTGACCCACGGAGCAAACTTGCATCTCCTGTATTGGTAGGTGGATTCTCTACCACTGAGCCACTGGGGAAGCCCTGTGTTCTAATTTCCAACTTAATTGATTTCTCAGCTTCAATCAACATAGATTAGTCACACCCTCCTTTTTTGGCCTATTGCCTTGGCTTCAGTGATGCTAAGGACAATCTCCTTCAACCTCTGGCTAGATCTTCTCTTCCCCCTTTGCTCCAGGTCTTTTTCTCAATGTTGAATACTAAAGAGTCAGAGGGGCCACATCCCTTTATCTTCTCTCTGTACTGTCTGCTTAGGCAATCTCATCCCCCACCTTCCACATTAAGACATCCATTAACAGCTATATACTGATTATTCCCCACAGAATTACGATCAATATGTCCCCTGTTACCAGAAACTAACACAAAACTGCTCTCCCTTCCCCCAGTATCCCCCTATATTAGGCACAAGAACCACCAACCCTGGAAATCAGCCTTCTCCTCTCCCTAGACTTCTAAATCGAATCCACCACCAAATCCTATTAACTTTACTTTTCAAATATTTGTCAAATACTGCTACTTTATCATTGCCAAGTCTGGACCAAGATTTCATTATCTCTTGCCCAAATTACAAAAATCGCTGAATTCAATTCTGCTCAAAGTGTGATCTGTGAACTCATACTGATCCACAAACTCTTGTTATTGGTGTGAGACAAGGTAAATACAGCAACAGAGGGCACTCAGAAATTTTTAGAGCAATCTGACAGACACTGCCACAATATCCATTTTATTGTACATTACCAAAGTACCACACAAACTATAAAGTAAAACAAAACGGGTCTTTCGCCACAGATAAGTTTGAGAAGCACTGGCCTAACTGGTCTCCTTGCTGTGACTCTTGTTTGTCTCCAATCTGTCCTCAACAGAGCAGCCAAGTGACGGTTTTAAAGCAAAAATTTAAGGAACTTATTCAGCTGTCTGACATTCTCCAGTGGCTTCCCACTACCCCTAGGATTAATTACAAAAGACAGGTAAATCCCACTGCCGAGATTTTTACCAAAAAAAAAATTTTTTTTTCAGAAAGGTGAAGAATCTTGTTTAAAGTAACCAAAGAAGAAGCGGAAGACTGGAAGGTCTGAGAGGCAACAGGATAACAGACTCTACAACCATATGACCTGGCTCCACTGCTTACTTAGCTGTGTGATTTTGTGGAAGTAATCTGAGTCTCAGGTTCCTTATTTGTGAAATGGAAATATAATAAAGGCTCTTCAAAGGGGGATTGTTGAGAGGTTTAAACAAGTTAATATATATAAATCATTTGAAAGAATGGCTGGCCCAGTGCTTTAGAAGTATTAGTGATTATCATTATCTTTAACATTTTACTAGTGCTCTTAGAAGATAATTTTATCTTCTTACTTGCTCATTGTCTGTCAGTGAAATTACAAAAAAAAAAAAAAAAAAAACAAACACCAAGAAACAGTCTATATTATTATTCTCTGATGGAACTTTTCTCAGAAGACTTAAACCCTACAGAAACTGAGTTGAGTTACTACTTCCTCAGTTCTCTTTCTCAAGCATAGGGCAGAGCTAGCACCAATCTAGGTGCATAGAAGAGTATTTGATTCATTACACACTTTGGATGCTTTAGAGCAATAGGGCCTGATATTTACTGGAACCCATGCTGAAAAGGGCTGCTCCTGTGTATTCTCCAAAGTCTGGCATGATGTAGGTGCTCATTAAATATTTTTGGAAAGAATGGTTCTTTTCAAAACCAAAGCAATAGTGCTTAGCACAAAGTAGCTACTAGTTGTCAATTTCATTCCACTCCCTTCAAAGTTTCTACAAACTTTAAAAGTATGATTATATGGGATTCATTTTTCTTGAACTGGGGGAGTCTACATTATTTAAAGCCAAAAATGCAGAATACAGACAGTAGGAAAGCCAAGAAATAGAAACCAATGTTGGCAGGAACTATGTGGAAACAGTAAGAGGTGGAAGATAGGTAGAATTTGGATATGCAGGGGAAAGAGCAAAGGTTATTCTAGGTCAGGGAATAGCATAAGCAGCAGAGGCAGTGTCACCCAAAGTTTAAAGAACATTCCACTGGTGATACAAAAAAAAAAAAAAGATTTTAAGCTATACACAGGCAAAATATTTGAAAGTTCCATACGCACATGTTTTTATGTGTAATTAGGACAGCAAATTGTGATTCCAAACTTTTACTACGTATAACAACATTAAGTTAACAGAACTTATTTGGACTTCTTAAAAATGTGAGTTGTTTAAAAAAAAAGTATCAAGAAAACAATGCACAGGAAGTGAGCAAATATGACAAAATTAGTTAGGATTTTAAAGAGTAAAACTTGGGGAACATTAAGACACAGTCATGTGAATAAAACCAGTCACTAAGAGAAAAGCAATGAGTCTTCTGAATGGAAGCCAAAGCTCTATCCTTAGTAGCAATTCAACATAAAGGACAAGCAGGTATGAGGTATGTTAACAGTTTTGAGTATTTAATTGTAGGGCTACAATTTTCCTCAGTAAAAATCCTCATTTTCCCTATGATAAATAGGCTACACAATTCAATTTCAGTTATTCCCAAAACAAAGATAATTTTAAATTTCCAAATAGATACCAGAAAATGATACAACGTATAGCCTGGTAACTTACCTGAAAATAAGGAGCTAAAACTGTACTTTTCACACTAGAAGGAACTACTTTATACAGCAACAAAATATGAATCATAGCTACATCACAAAAGCTGTTAAAATAAAAAAAGCAAAAGACAGCTTTCCTTCTCTCCACTTCTCTCAAAATTAACCTACCAATAGCCAAATCAAGCTAAGAGATGATGATAAAGACACACTTATTGAACTCTTATCAGGCACTGCTGTATCTTACCTGAATTAAGTTATGCAATTATCACCACCATTTTATGAAGTACACTCCTATCCACATTCTACAGCTGTAAGAATATGAGGCACAGAGAGATTAAATAACTTGCTCAAGGCCAGATATGGTAGATGGAAAGGCAGGGATTTAGATCCTGACAGTTCAGAGTCTGAGCTCTTAACCACTGGGCACCATTTATCTCAAGAATAGTAGGATGATAATTTAAAATATTCCACCTTCCCCACTATGACAGGAGAGATGTAATGTTTCAAAGTATGAACTTTTTTATTAGTTAAATTTCCAGTCTAAGAAACAGGAGGTTCATCAGTTTTATGGAAAAACTAGGAAGATGAGTATTATAATGAAATAATATAGGCCCAGGAGTCTTTCAAATACAAAGCACCAGAAGCTTCAGAAGTCTGGCTGTAAATGACACTATTCAGAGAAAGATGCCAAAAGTTGGGATAAACAGAAGGTGAATCCTATTCCTACCCGATTTACTGCTTTGAAGGAGAAAATTCTGCCCATCCCCTCGCCTATCTGTAATTCAGTTACACAAATGCACAGATTCAAGAGTGAGGGGAAAGGATGGCAGAGGGAGCAGAAAGATGATAAAGTCAGGACTTCGTGGACCCTGAACCGCAGAGTCCGTCTGATGTACCTGGTGAGGGAGAATTATGGGAGGGCAATGTGTACCTGGGGGTAGGGAGGTTGAGGGCAGGGCCACCAGGGTGGAGGCACCCAGCGGTCCGGCTGCAGAGCCGAGAATTCATCGTGAAACGGGGTAATGGAGGTACTTTCGAGTGTATACTTTTGGGATAAGGAGGTCTGGACGTGAACGCGGGGGTGGGGTGCAGTTTCTCGCTCTAGGCAGGACTCAGGGTGGGAAAACAGACAAGGTATTAAAGGGCGGGCGCGGAGGTCTACAGTTCATAAAGGGGGGAGACTGGGGAAGGCGAAGGGGCAAGGCTTGCGGAGGAAGGTCGGGGGGATCCTGGCAGAAGGAAGCAGGGAGTCAATGGGGGAGGGGATGATTCCCAGGGGAAGCAGACACTCGCGAGGTTAGGGAGGTCCGGGGGGCGGGGGTGGGGCCGGGGCGCGGGAGGCACACCTCAGGAGCGGGGGTCCTGGGCCGAGGAGGAGGAGGGCGCCGAGAAGCGGGAGGAGGCCGCTGGGTTCCACTGCAGGTGAGTCCCGGGGTCGAGGGGGGAGCAAGCGACCACGGCTGCGGCCGGGACCGCGGCGGGGGAGGGGCACCTACCCGGACGTGTGGGGTAGCGGCGGGCAGTCCCAGCGGCGGCTCCTCTCCGGCTGAGGTGATGGCGGCGAGTCCCTGTGGCGACCGCCTCCGCCGAGCCGCATCCCTCCTCCCCAGTCCGCCCTTCTCTCCTGTCTCCCGCTCCTAAACTTCTTCCCCGGGATAAACAAACCTGCCGCCAGGGGCGGCCGCCTCCGCCGCTCCCGCCCCCACGCAGCCCCCCCGCTCCGGGCCCGTCCGGGCCCCGGCTTCCGAGTTGCGACTCCAGCCCCAGCCCCAGCCCGCGAGGGCGCGTGCGCGCGGCGGTGGCGGCGGCGGCTCGCAAGGCCTTCCCTCCCTCCTGCGCCGGGCATTTCCGGCCCGGGCCGGATCCGCCGCCGGTGTTTGAATGTAGCCGGCGCCGTTTGCGCCGGGCACTGGCTCCCAGCCTGGCGGGCTCCACATCCCCGGCCGAGCCGAGCCGAGCCTGGTAGGGACGCCCCCGCTTCAGTGCACCATAAAACTTTCCTAAAAAACTCACTGATCCCCGCCCCTAACAGCTTATCTAATTGACCTAGGGTCAGTGTGAAAGGCGGCTGCTGTTTTCTGCGCACGGTTTTCTTAGGGCTGTACGAGGCTGGAAAGCCAAGATACAGTTTGTACCGATCGCTTCCTGTGAGCTCAGAACTATATGACTCCCTAAAACAAAAACAGCAGTATAGAGACTTCCCTGGCGGTCCAATAGTTAAGACTGCGCTTCCACTGCAGGGGGCGCGGGTTCCATCCCTGGTGGAGAACTAAGTTCCCGAAAGCCACTCAGCGCGGCCAAAAGGGAAAATCAGCAACAACAAAACAGGAGTATACAGTCTCTCAATAGGGATAAAGACAACAGTCTGGTAGGCAAGTGAAATGCCAGGTGGAAGCGTTTTCCGTTGGAGGAGATGAGCCGGAACTATCAGGCTTAGGAAGGGAGGGGTCCGCGCAGGGGCGGCTGAAGGATGCTTGAGAAGCTTAGCAGAGCAGGAGGCATCCGGAGACTGGACGTTGGTAAACAGCTATAGCTAAGCAGACGTCAGAGAGTCCATGAGACTGCCTCAAGGAGTTGAGAATATAATCTTATTTATGTATTTAACACAAAAAACGTGCGTGGAATACAAACAACTCCAGCCAGAATTTCAGAAAGGAGATAAGATCAGCATAATCAGGTCTCAAAGTTGCCTTAGGCCAAGAGTTAAAAAACAAGTGAAAATGAGCATTGATATATTGGGGACTGTAGGGAGAGGAAATATTAGTGCAGAATTTCATGTTCTTCAAACATGAACAAAATCAGATACTATTATTTGCTGTACTCATTGTGGGTGTGTGTTAACTACGGTATGTGACAGAAACAGTACAAATTATATGTAATTTTTGCCCAGGCCTTTTAGCTGTGTCAACCTCTTATCACTTATGCACTTTCTTTAATCGACCATTATTATGCATTAATAAAGGTAATATGTTCAAGGAATTGAACTGCAATAAATCCTTCAGTAGATTTCCAGTTGTGAGTTAAGAAATGAGTGGTACTTAATACTCTTGATACTTGACTAAATTCTAGTTGTTGAGTGGTTCAATATACTTCCCCCCACAGGATGTCAAATTGCTCCTCCGGGTATTATTATAGTCTTTCCCCTAGGCTTGTTTTCTTTGCAGTATTAGGATATATCATTCTTTTTCTAGCAGTATTTGGTGAATTTATCCACTGATAAAATAACAGTAAATAGTAAAAGATGACACCACCCTTACGGCAGAAAGTGAAGAAGAACTCAAGAGCCTCTTGATGAAAGTCAAAGAGGAGAGTGAAAAAGTTGGCTTAAAGGTCAACATTCAGAAAACTATGATCATGGCATCTGGTCCCATCACTTCATGGCAAATAGTTGGGGAAACAGTGGAAACAGTGACAGACTTTATTCTTTTTTGGGCTCCAAAACCATTGCAGATGGTGACTGCATCCATGAAATTAAAAGACACTCCTTGGAAGGAAAGTTATGACCAACCTAGACAGCATATTAAAAAGGAGAGACATTACTTTGCCAACAAAGGTTGGTCTAGTCAAGGCTACGGTTTTTCCAGTAGTCACCTATGGATGTCAGAGTTGACCATAAAGAAAGCTGAGTGCTGAAGAATTGATGCTTTTGAACTGTGGTGTTGGAGAAGACTCTTGAGAGTCCCTTGGACTGCAAAGAGATCCAACCAGTCCATCCTAAAGCAGATCAGTCCTGAGTGTTCATTGGAAGGACTGATGTTGAAGCTGAAACTTCAATACTTTGGCCACCTGATGCTAAGAACTGACTCATTTGAAAAGATCCTGTTGTTGGAAAAGATTAAAGGCAGGAGGACAAGGGGATGACAGAGGATGAGATGGTTGGATGGCATCACTGACTTAATGGACTTGAGTTTGAGTAAACTCCGAGAGTTGGTGATGGACAAGGAGGCCTGATGTGCTGCAGTCCATGGGGTTGCAAAGAGTTGGACATGACTGAGTGACTGAGCTGAACTGAACTGAATATGGCTTGTAATTAACGCTAATAAAAATGTGATTGGGAATTCCCTGATAATCCAAGGGTTAGGACACCTTGCTCTCGCTGTGGAGGGCCCAGGTTCCATCCTTGAGGGAGGGAACTATGATCCCACAAGTCTCAGGTCATGCCCACCCCACAAAAAAGAAAAGTTTGGCAAAGTAAAAGATGACTATGATCATCATAGATTGAAGATTTATTACCAGTCCCCTAAAGAACTTCCTTTCTTGATTTGAGTTCCCCTAAAGAACTTCCTTTCTTGATTTGTTGGATACCTGTCATGACCATCCAACTCCTTAGATGCCAAGAAACTTTATGATAACTGATTTTGCTGCTCATTGTCAGTTTTCTATAGGAAACCAGTCCGATTCTCAGTGGATGTGGCTGATTCGGAAACTCTTATTGCAGATAATAGGTTAGCAGTTAGCACAGATCAGAAGAGCCATTCATTCTCTGAGCTTAATGCACCCCGAGGAGGACCAGATTTTGAATCTTGATTCCGCCCTATGAGACTCTGTCTGAAAAGCTATCCATGAACTCCAATTTGATGTTTTAGTGACTGTGGCATCTTATACCTCTTTTCTAAATTAAACACCACAGTTATTTCCATTTCATGGCATAACCGACTTACCAGTGTCTTCCATACTACCACCCTGTTTTGTACTATCATTTTCCAATTCTAACTGTCAAAACCTATAGAATTCATAAATCCAGTATTATCTTCTGTTTAGAGATAAAACAGAAGTAACGATGTGCTTATTAGCAAACAGTATCCTTCATGAATCCTAAGTGACATGCTCTCTGAGCTCCCCTGGACATTTTGCCTCATACCCTTACCCTACTAATGTGGTTCACCAGATGCTTCTGTTTTAATGAGCTGGCTTCTGCTAACCATGTACCCTCCTATCTTAAATTTTTTTCAAGGGAACCACTCTGGTCTTACCTTTCACAAGCTAACACTTGTGATCAGACTCAACATTTAGTTTTTGGAATTTAGGTGGAAAGAAAAGAAAAACTCTTTTAGTAATTATCTTTCACTGTTGTTGATACTAGGCCTTTTATCTGGAGGAAAACACTAAAGCCTTTGTTGAATAGTCTTTCAATTACATGTAATCTCATTTTTCCCCCCTTTGTCTCTATTTCTTTCTTATCTCTGGCTTTTCATCTTGCAGATAAATTCCTAGGTTTGTAGTACTTTTACATTATATAATACTCACTTTTTAAGGATCCAAAAATCGAAGAACTCTAGCATTATACCTACAACTCTTGTGTAGTGATGCCCCCCCAAAAGGGCAAGTTTGATGTACATAAAAATCACTCCAAGAAAACTGAGAATAGGCCCCAGAACTCTGAGAACAGGATCTTTTATGTCTTTTAAGTCCTTCCTTGACATTTTTTATTTTCATGTCCTCAGCTATGATATGTCAAATATTTTGAGATGTCCCCTTGTTTCAGACACATTCATGTATTTAATGCTTTGGTTCTTTGCATATTCTGTCTACTGTAGAAGAAAGGATTTTTGTTGTTTTATCACCATGTGGAGAGTAAAAGTTGAGTTGCAGCAGTTTACTAGTTGGCATACTGTTACATTTTCTAGAAATTTAACTGAGTATTAAATTTAACCAAGTTTGAAACATTTTGAGGCTCTTAAACCACAAATAATCCCTAGATTCTGGATCCATAATGCTCAGTGAGTGAGACAGCAATACCTCTACCTACACAATACATTGTCTTGGAAAAATATTGGTTACCCTACCTGGAAGTCTTCTATTCACAATGTAATGTGAGAAAACAACAAAAATGCTCTCTTCTACAAGGTTACCCAAGGCCCCTTGAACATCGCTCTAGGCACACCCTGAGAACTCTCATCCAAGGTCACTTACGGTTGTTGGAAATGTTTTTACTGTGCCAGGATCCAGGCGGTCGCTGCTGCCGTGATCTAGTAGTCCCTGATGATCTCTCCCTTCCTCAGCGTGCCCAGCTGAACTCTCTCTCCTCTGCTGGTGCCCCGACCTTGCCCCTTCTCAGCTTCCCAGGTAACCTGAGAAGTTGCGGTGGAGTCTGGTCCTTGGAGATGGTCCCAGGGGAAGCCTGGGACGCTGCACTGTGCTCTCCAGCCGGGGTCACCAGCCTCTGCCCCAACAGCCTAGAGGTGCAGCCGCTCATCTCCTCCTCTTTTATCTCTGCTGGGTCATCACAATGTCTCCAGGTCAGGGTCTTTGCTCCTCTCCCAGAGAGACACACCCTAATGCCTATCAGGGCAATTTCTGGTTAGAGGAGTTTATTTAAACATCTGCCTCTGCCACGCCCACTGGGTGGGTCTCAGACTCTAACCTTCTCCCTCAAAATTGGGGCATATCACTCCACTTTCTTCTGAAACTAACTCAAGAAATGGCAGCCCCATGGCTGTTTTCTCTGGACATATTAAGGGGCCCCGCCTCCAATAGGATCTCAAATGGGCTTCTGTTTCACTCAGACCAAGCATTCCTTCTACAAGGGGACACATGTAGAGCTGGGCCCTGCTCCCAGACCAGGAATCTAGAAGTCCCACAGGCCCATTGGGTGAGCTGCAGCGGTGTTCCTGGGGCTGCCCAGCAGCCAATCAGACGCTAGTGAACCCAGGAACCTTGGAATCTCTGGGCCTCAGTGTTCCTTGACTTGCTGCTTCCTCTTGCCCTACATCCTCAGATGGATTGAGTTCTCCCTCTCTGAATTACCTTCTGCTGCCTCCCTGCTTTAGAAACTACGCTCTGCTGTCTAGCTGTTGCCAAATCTGCATTCATACCCCTTCACCACACTGAGTGGCCGCCCGCCTCCAGATGGTTCTCTCTGCTGTTCAGAGCCCTTTGCCGCCAGCACGCTTGCCAGATTGGAAATCCTGGTTTGGCCATTTCCAAAATCAGAAAC